CCTTGGACTCGGCCTTCTCTTGTAAAATAGCTTGGACTTTGGCTTCAGGTTTGACCGATAATTTTTGCTTAGGAACAGTCTTCCCTGGCGAAATACCTTGGGTTGTTGGCTTTTGCTTGACTGACGTCTTTATCTGTGTATCAGTCTTTCCTTGAAAAGTAACATGAACTGTACCTCTAGCCTCAGTCTTAGACTCAGCTTGTACTGTTGTCGCGGGTTTAACGAGCGTCTTCGTGCCAACCTCGTCCTGTTCTTCGTCTTCGTCGGCTCCATCGTCTTCATCTTCATCATCATCATCATCATCATCTTCGTCGTCGTCGTCGTCGTCGTCGTCTCCCGACGACTCGCTTTCCTCATCTTCGCCATCATCCGGAACATAGTCGGCATCTTCATCAGACTTGTAAGTCTCGCTGACATGAATGAGCTCCTCAATTAATGCTTCTTCCCCTTCTTCTTTATCGTATTTTCGCTTCCGGTCAGGAGAAACCGGAAATGGCTCTGAAGCATCTATTATTCTGTGGTAATCGCCTTTCGCTGTAAGGCGTTTGGATCTCCTCAGTTTTTGCTTTCGTCCAACAATCTCCTAGATAAAATTAAAAAAACATGTTTAAGTTGTTATACCGTAAAATTCCGAAAATAAGCCCCGGGGCTTATATTTTTTAAAAGGCCCCGATTGAGGAGCATATTTTTGGAGGGGCTTATATTCGGAGGGGCTTGTCTGCGGAAAGAAGTTTGCGTTTCAAAATCGATTGGGCTAGCCTTATAGTTGGAGGTAAATTTATCGTTTTTGCTTTGTTTTACTTAGTATTTGAGGTCAATTTTCCAAGTACAAGCCTTCGCGGGGCTTATTTTTGGAGGGGCTTTTTTTCGGGAATTTTTACGGTATCTCTGAAAACGTTTAAAAAACAGACCTCCGAAATCGAGGAAATTCGCCAGTGTTCACTAAGACATTATGCTTTATTAAACGATCAGGTGATCTTGAAATTTCCCATTTGCGTGCCCTCCATGCATTTATTATATTTAATCCATAATCTTAGAAAAAATTAAATGGGTGGTAACATTTAGACCCCCTCCCCTCCCCCAAATCAATAAGGGGGAAATGGCGCGTTTTGGTGTTCTCGGGGCTTCATGCAGTGTTTTCGGAGGAGATTTCTTCTCATCCAATTGGTCACAGATCGGCGAATTTTGCTGCAGTTGAATTCTAAAGGAATGTATCCAAGTTCAAAAATACAAAAATCGTTCTTGTGTTTACCTCCTCCATAAAACGTGAAATTTGGAAGTTTCAAGTTACAGTCGCGCAACGACGGCAAAGAAATGTATAAAAAAGTCTGATGCACGAACAAAGTTGTTGTTTTGCTCCCCTGGGGGCACTCCCTTATTTGGCCTAAAAGGGTATGGGCTGCTGAACAGGGTATGGTTTTAATTCAGGGTCTTGTGTCTTACACAGGGTATACAATTTCACCATTTAACGTCTTGAACAAGGTATTTTTTTGGACTGGAACTTTTTGAAGTTAAAGAGTGTGAAGGTTAATGATAAGGGGTCTAATTTTGTGATGCAAACAATCTTTTTCCAAACTAATTTAATTCCGTAATGTTAGTGTTTAAAAATACTTAATTCTGTCATGTGCAGGGTCATAAAACAAGTCTCTTGTCTTAAACAGGGTAACAAAATGAACGATTTTTGTCTTAAACAAGGTCATGGTTTAAGGGCCGCAGCGGCACACCCGCCTACCGCAAGATTCCCTTGAGTGCGCCCCCTCCCCCCCCCCCCCCCCCCCCCCCCCCCCCGCTTACAAAAACAAAACCAAAACATTTTTTTTTCTCCCCTTTCTCTTCTTATCCCCCCCCTCCTTGCTTTTATTTTATTCTTTTTTTTTTTATTGATTATTGTTTTTTTTTATTAATTTTTATTAGAATATAGCTACTTGTCCACACTCCACACATCATTGAAAATTTAATTCTGTTATGTGGAGGGTGAAAAAACAAGTCCTTTGTCTTAAAAAGGGTAAAAAAAAGAACCGTTTTTGGCTTAAACAAGGGTCTGGTTTAAGGGCCCCCGCGGCCCCCCCCCCTCCCCCAAAATTCCCCTGAGGGGCCCCCCCCCCCCCCCCCCCCTTCCCCCCCACGAGTGTATTACAAAACTAAACCAATACTTTTTTTCCCGTTCTCGTCGTCGTTGCCATCGCCGTCGTCGTTACTTTAAGTCCATATTATATGTAAAGGATATAACTGTTTTAGATCAACTCTGTGTAAAAGTCATTACGTACTGCCCTCCATACACACATTGCTCCGGTGGAGTTAGAGTGATTTTCGGTATAACCTTGAAATGAAAACGCCCGAACGGGAACGGATACAAACGCGCGTGGGAAAAAAATTCATGCCCGTGAACTTTCTAGAAATCAATCAATATACTTCGCTTTGACGTCATACTGCAACACGATTGGCCAATCGACCGATGCCTCCTCCATAATAAGGTTTTCTTTCGCGGGAAAACGAAGAGTCCATGTTTTGATGTTTTGCAGGCAGAGCAGTAAAACTTGAAAAGATGGGCCAACTTTTTCAAGTTCCAATCCATCTCCACCCGCAGCAACAGAGAGCCGGGAAGAGTTTCAGTGCATGCCTAAATGTAAGAGACCTTAAGATCGAGGTTTGGTCATTTTACTGCAAACGACAAACTGCAGTTTGCGGTTAACAGTTTCACGCTACCCGTCTACCCATATTTGGGACTTAAGATGCGTGGGTGGTAGCTCGCGACTGCCATGTTTGTTTTCATTCATCCACTTACTTCTATTTTAGCTGAGAAATTGTGTTCCAAGTTACGTTTTTTTTGAAGTAGAATTTGATAATTAATAAGCAAAAGAGTTGTAAATAGTCGTATTTCTTCTCAAACGTTGGATTGTGATGCTTAAAGATGCAAAAAACTCTGCGGTAAATCACTTACCTCGAAAGCGTGGCCCAGCCGTACCGTGAACGTGAACCTCAAACCTGAAACCCGACGGCAAGACCCTGGTCACGTGACTTCTTGACGTTCGCAGTTCGCGGCAAATGCCCAAAAACACCTCAATCTTAAGGTCTCTATAGTCTCCAATAACAAAACTGGACGAAGGTTCTTGGAATTTAATTGATGTTAAAACACGTGTTAGCTTTTTAAAAAGATTGCAAAATACTTCGTCATAGTCTCTTTAAAGAAAGAGAATACCCGTTCAGATTTGAATTATCGTTTCTTCGTTTAATGTGACGCAAAGGTATTGACATACCCTCCTTTCTCCTTCACCATGAACAGGCGGTAAAAAAAGAAACTCGCCGCTATGTGTGGGGTCCAGAAAAGCTGTAAACATCCCATTAACAACCTAAATTTTTTAGAAAAAGCTTTCGTTAATATTCATTTCAAATAATTGGTTTTACGCAGGAAAGTTGCAAAAGTTAAGCCGCATGGTCAATGAAAACCGTTAAATTGGATTTTCTTTACGCGAAAACTGAATAGTTCTTGATAAGAGGTAATCCGACATCATGAAATGTATATGTACATATATATCCAAACACGTCACGATCCCTTTTAACCGTTGTCTTTTGCAGTTATCAATAAGTTTAAGAGGTTAGCTCGAAGTCCAAAATACTCGGCCATTGTCTTTTGCGGGCAGCGCCAAGTAAATAGTGACAATAATGAATCTACTGGGAAAATAGCAACTATTACTGTGAGAACGAAGGTATGACCCTTAAGGCCAAAACGAACGAAAAGAGGGAGGGAGAAGAAGGACAGTTGCTTAGTACAAGCGTTAAACTGTCAGCTCCGTGTACAAAATGCCCCGGGCCCCCAGGGGCAAAATGCACCGAAAATGGGGTCTGTAAGGCCGTACTGCTACCATTTTGAACTTCGAGTAAACAGAGGTTGTCGTTTAAAAACCGTGTTTTGCTTTCACCGGTATCTTTTGAAGCAGGTGTTGCGTGATGTTCCAGGTCCATTGAGCGGCTGCTCTTGCGCGTCCAAGTCCGGCTGAGGCTGCTAAAGACAGGACCTGGGGAGAGAGAAACAAAATTCAGCCAAGACAGCTTGCAATCTCTTATCTTTTGGATAGGTAATCACTGGGAGCAAGGATCAACTTTAACTGATGTATGAGTCATGTAGAGTTTGTGGAAAGAATTCCGTTTGCCATGTTTGCCCGATTTTTTTCCCCCTCTGGGTTGGGGAGCGGTCATATGTTTGGACTGTATTATTTCACCCGCCATACAGGAATTTCAGGTTTGTACAGCAAGCTACTGCCCCCAGCTTGTGTTTTGACTGGCCGGGGTTATGGATCACTGACGTGATATTCGAGAGATTTAAAGCCGGGTGATGTTACACAGGACGATTCGCAACGACGATTTTTAGCACAACACAGCGCTGCGATGTTGGCACAATGTTGTAAACATTCGAAACAATGTCCCAACAATGTTGCAAAGCTGTGTCGTCGTTGCGAATAATCTCGCGTAAGATCACCTTAAAGGAAATATGCGAGCTCTAAGAATTAAATCGCTCTGTGTCAGAAATGTTTTTGTTCGACGTGTTTTCACCGGAGCAAGAAAACAGAATTTCAGGGTAATAGAGTATATCAGGATCAACCATCTTTACCCAGGCTCTTACTTCTAATTTTTTCCCTTTGTAAATTAAAGTTGGAGGAGAGGGAAGAAAAATCCGAGAATGATCGAGGCTGTGTATGGTCTTGTTCGCTTAAATCATAATTAACAGTGGCAGATCCAGGGGAGAGGCCTGAGGGGCCGCGCCACCCTTTTTTTAGGGCAACCTGAGGCCCGAAGGGCGGGAAAAAAAATTTTTTGAGACCGGGGTCCCGCCTTATCTAAGGGCCTGGATGAACGCTCCCCCCGCTTATCTTAAGTTCGAGATCCGACACTGGTTGGTTCTGAAGCTCAACAGACTTCTTTGTCATATATGTTTTTGTTATCATTTTGAACTTATTGACCAATAGAAACATCGCATTAATTTTCAGTCACAATTTGTGAACAAAAAACGGAGAATTTTGCACGGTCAAGGAGCTTCCAACATAAACTGCAGCACCGTTGGTTTCATCTTTGATGTTTGCCGGCTTTCATAACCAGTCTCCTCTACTAAATATAGTTAAATTTGTCGATTATTTGACTTGATACCATTTTTTACCTTTGTTCCTTGGTCTCCGATGGTGTAACTGACTGCACGTATTCGATCCACCTTAGTTTGTACCACAGGGAGGCCAGGTTTCTCTTGGTCTTTCGCGTTCTCTTCTGGTGGTTTGAAGTAATCAACAGCAGCTTCAGTGACCGTGATCAGAACCTCTGCTACATCAGACTGCTCAAGTTTCTCTACTCCGAGAGCTATGACCTGGAAAAGTTTGTGCATGATTGAAGGTGAAAAAGTGCTTGATGACCTTTATAAATAGGAATTAAAATATGCTGATACAATTCTCCAAGGCCTGTCGAGGAAGGATGAAAGTCCTTTTTATATTCTCTTACCTAACTTTGATACGGCGAAGGGAAGATTATTAGAAGAAGCAGGCTTTCAATGAGCTACAGACCACAAGCAGTCTCTTATGTTTCTTTGAAAAATTATTCCACTCGCGATAAACGAGAAAAAATAAGGATAATAAAATCATGAAATAATAAATCTTTTCTCGTCTCGTTGTATTAGATCCCTTATTGTAACGTTGTTGTTTGCAATCGCGCTGGCTGGGATAAGAACTGGACGGACTGCAAGCTGTCTAAGTGAGCTAGAGCAGAGATGTCATAATGTTCTATGCTTCGTCAAAAGAGTGAATAGCCTCACACGAGCGACGAAGCCCTGAGAACGTCTTCGTGGGAGGCTAAAGAGTAAAGAACTAACAGTTTTTACCGTAGAACAAACATTGCTCTTGCTATTCCTCGTACCCAGTACTCATGCGACTACAGGTGCCTGGTGTGGTCCTGCTGACCGAAAAGCTTGCGGACTCTGGGTACGAGATCAACTTTCAACTTGACCTAAATAAACAAAATATCTGCAAAGTTTCTTTGAGAAACACTTCGAGTTTAAAGAAATTCACCCCATCGTCTTTTTGACTACTCCTGGACTACACGTTTATTTTTCAAGATGTTTATAACAGTGGATCCCCGCCATACCGCCCGACCACCCTGTTATTACGAACGGTTGTTTTGGACCGGAGAAAGAGTCCTTTCTTTTCCTTGTTTTATATTATCATTACAATTACCACCCTTGGAGCACCTTTTGAAGCCGACATAAGAATCTGATTGGTTCAGCCAGAGCAGACTCAAATGCGTGTGTCTTTTGGTTGGTATAGAGTGTTTTCACATGACGTCACGGCGGCCATATTGGTGTCCCAAAACAATAAAACGGCGGCGATGTTGGTGTCCAACACCAGTCCCGCGGGAGTTGAACTCTTTTCTTATGCAATTTGCATACACTGATGCTGATCGACCACGTGAGTGAAAACGCTCTATAGGAAACAGGCCTGCAGTGCATTCTTAGGCCTAGATCAAACGTCGAACTTTTCATGAGATGAACCACACTACGCGAGTCAAGTTCATGAAAAGTTCGACTTCTGGCTCAGTTAAGTTTGTCTGTTTGAATCCTTCGTCTGAATGAGGTTGAGCACGTTGCATCGTCTGCTTCCGACGGATAGGTCGTCTCTAGATCGCCTCCGAGACAAGCGTCGATCTTCGCACGGACGAACTAAACTAATAGATTAAAAAATTTTTTGATAATGTATACTTAGCCTCGTTCGGGAGAAAATTTATTACTTGTACTGGCCGACTAGAATTTCTTTTTGGTTTGATTCAGTTGATTGGTTGGACGCGTCCTAAGTTCGATAGCCTGCGTAGCAAGCGTTTCCAATCGAGTTATTGCGCGAAAGTTAGTTCCCCTCCCCCTCCCCCGTCATTCATTTTTTTTTGCTCTTGTCCCAGTTTTCTAGACGAACCTCGCGAGGAAACGCTTGCTACGCAGGCTATAAGTTCGACGTCTGACCCAGCAGACGATCTTAAGTTAATTTAGGTCGACCCACATTAGAGTTTGGTTCGTCTCATGAAAAGTTCGATGTTTGTCCTAGACCTTGGATAAAAAATTAGTGAAAAGTAATTTTCCATGACTTGGCACTTATGTCCAGGATCGATCTTGTTAGCAAAAATTTGCTAGCAAATTGCTTTCGCAATTGTCGCAAAAGAAATAATTGAGAAAAAATTATGTCAGAAAATCACTAACAAATATCGCAAAAATCGCAAAAATAACAAATCTAACAAGAATCAAGACTTGGAAACTGAAGAAGCCAAGAAGGGCCCCGAAATGTTCGCAAATATCGCAAAAATCGCAAAAGTAACAAGGATTTTTTTTTGCTAGCTAAAAACACCCGTGACAAATATCGCAAAAATCGCAAAAATAACAAATCTAACGAGAATCAAGACTTCTGGACATATCTCTGACTTGGGGCAACAGAAACTTTACTCAGTGCCGAGAGGATAATTAAACGATGCTTTTCAGTTCCATCTCTGCGTTTACTTTGGTGGCAACAACGAGTCCACGTTTTGGTCTTTTTAACTACTAGTTCAAGTGTTAAATATAACGAACACCTAGGGAAACTTTTGTTTAAGGTCAGAGGAAAATTAATCGCTATAATGGGATCTTTAAGAGGCAGCAACTGATCAAAACTCAAGGAATAAAGCTAAGGGCAGCGGTATGCTTCTTCAATTTTTCACTTACCTTGTTGGTTTGGCCTTTTGCAACGAGCCATTTGTTTTGCAAGAATTCTAGTCCATTACAAGCCATGGTGTCGACTTGGGAAGCTGGCGAACAAATCATTAAAAATAATTCACTCTTTTCAATTCTAAAATCCACTTAGGTCCAAGCACGTAAAGTGAGAATAAGTTAAAGAGCCGTGATTTTATTTTTTCCCTTTATTTTCATTTTATTCCAAGATCGAGCTAACTTAACAAATTAGATGTGGACTTTTCAAACGTACAAGGCCGATAAACTCGGCTGAGTGATCTCAGCGATCGAGCAGGGTCGCGAAGTTCAGGGTGCGGTATGCGTGAGATTCTTTGAATGAAAATTCTCAAGAGATTGACCTGATCTAGAAGTTAAATATTTCTGACAAAATCACAGTTTATTCTCCTAAAAAAAATCTCAAGAAAACTATCAGTCGTAAACTTATCTTTATATTTCAGATAGTTTTAAAAGGATTCCTTTCTTGTAACTTTCAAAGAAAATGGAAATGTTACCATTTGATAGTTATTTGTTAGTTCAACTGCAAAGTTTTCATGAGCTTACGTACCTTTCTGTTCAAAACCTTCTTTCAGTTTTCCCGCAAGACTAAACTTAGGCAGAATAGAGTATGTCATATGTGAAGTCACGACCACTGCCTTCACCGCTACTTCAGCGGCACCAAAGCCAAGCTGTGTGCCATAATTCTTCTCGCGAATTCGCGTATACATATCGGATGCATGCTCGCAAAGTGAGATTACAATCGGTAATTCGTTCAGGCGCTTTAGAACCCTCGGCATTCGCGAAGAAGACGCTTCATTTTGCACAACGTTAACGTTTTCGGGACCCTCGGCCTCCGACATTATTCCTTGCCTCGACAACTTACAAGAAGGCTTAACGCTCTGGCTTCGCAACCAACCAACCAACATACTTTGTTATTCCGTTAGTTATATTCAAAGGTGAAAAAAATAAAATAATTGTTTGAGAATGGCACAGATTTGCATTCTGAGCACGCGGAATACATTCGTGCAACTACGTCTTAACCACTCGGCTCAAAAGAACCTGCCAAGACGAACACGTAGCAATTAAGAGCATTGAAACCTGGGCCAACAGGCTTTCGTTTTTATGACATGAAGAAAAGCACTGGGGAGGATCGGAGGGGGGATAGTCTCGTTCTGAAAACTCCCAACCACAAATTAATATTTCTAGGACGGTTTTATCATGGTTTTATCATGGTTTCACGGTTGAATTTTATATGTTTTTTTTCGATCTGCTAGGACACGATCTTGTTGCTAGTTTCAATGCGGCCTATGATGCAAATGAACTCACCATTTCACAACGAAGAGGCGTTATTACTTTAATTCCCAAAGAAGATGGCTCGCTACTAGAACTTTCAAACTGGAGACCGGTAACACTGCTAAATGTTGATTGCAAGATAGCAACTAAGGCAATAGCAAGGAGAATAGAACCATTATTACCAAATCTAGTGCACACTGATCAAACCGGTTTTATCAAAGGAAGATATATCGGGGAAAATATTAGGCTAATAATCGACATAATGGAACATACGAAGTCAGAAAGCATACCTGGCATTCTAGTATCTCTAGATTTTCGGAAAGCTTTTGATTCTCTAGAATGGT